TAAGTCTAGTTTAAGACTCTTCATAGAAGTCTGGCCACTTGGTCAGGTGAATCCCACCAGCTTCCAACAGACGCAGCTTCTCCAGGGTAGATCCATGATCATGGAATCCCAAACCTTGAGTATGGCACCAGCCACGCAGCCTGGTGTTCCAGTTGCTTCATCGTCTTCCCTGGACTCTCTCCAATGTGGCCGTGTCTCATTTGTACTGGGAAGCCCAGCACTGGACCCAGCCTTCAAGGTGTGGCCTCACCAGCACAGAGGTGAGGGACCACCTCCCTCCACCGTGAGCTGTCTTTGTGGCAGGGGCTCATGGTTCGACGATTCATTCATTCACCAGGACCTTTCCTACTGAGCCGCTTTCCAGCCTGGTGTCCCCATCATGTCCTGATGCCGGGAGTTGTCCCTCCCCGGGGGCAGGACGTTGCACTTCCCCTGGTAGAACCCCATGAGGTTCCTCAGCCCATTTCTCCAGCCTGTTGAGGTTTCTCTGGGTGGCAGCGGGACCCTTTGGTGTCTCAGTTTGGTGTCACCTGCAACTTGCTGACGTTCAGCCAGTTGACAACCCACCTCACTGCCCATCCAGCCCAACCATCAACTGCTTCTCTAGGAGGATCTTACGGAAGACTGTTGAAAGTCTTCCTGAAGTCCAGGTAGACCATGTCCACTGCTCTCCCCTTGTCTACTAGGCCGGTCATTGTACTGTAGATGTTTATCATGTTGGTCAAGCATGAATTCTCCTTGGTGAAGCCGTGCTGACTCCTCCTGATGCTTTTGTCATCATTCATGTGCCTGGAAATGGTTTCCAGGATTAGTTGTTCCACCACCTTCCTGGGGGAAGTCCCTGCTGGCCCCACAACTGCTGCTCCACAGCAGCCAGTGAAGCTGGGGCAGCAACATGGGCAGGGATGTGGCAGGAGATGGGAAGAGGCCCTGGGGAGGCAGAAGGAGCTCCTGGACCATGGCAAACATCCCCTCCCTTGGGCCCCTGGCCACCCCCAGGGCCATCGCTTGGGCAACGTCCCCATGGCCACATCCGTTGAGATTAAACATGCCGGATGCCAGCCAGTAACGGTCATCTGATAACACCTCCCCTTGAGAAGGAAGGACTGGCCACCCGGCTTGTGCAACGGGGCTTGCGACATGTAAACCGCCCAAAACGGCAGGTTTCCACCCCAAAACCCCTCAGTCCTGCGGGTGGTTGCTTTTTGAAGGCATCTCTTGGACGTTGCTGTGTGTCCTTGGTGCAGCTTGCCATGGCCATCTACAAGGTGAAGGTGGCCACGGGTGACATGCTCGAAGCTGGGACCAACAACTCCATCTCCATCACCTTGGTGGGCAGCCGTGGCGAGAGCCGCCGAACGACCATGAACTACGTGTTCCTGCCAGCGACGGTGAGTGTGGGGACAGGGACACAAGTGGTGGCACGGGCTGTTCTGGTTTTGGCTGGAGAGAGTAGGAAAAGGGCTGGGTCTTCTGCAAGGTTTGGGGGGCTGGAGGAAGAGAATCTTTGGGGCAAGCTCGGAAACCTGGTGGGGAATGCCCGTATCCCCTGGCGCCACACCAGGGCAGCTGCCCTCCCGCCACAAGCCATCCCACCCCACCAGGAGAAGGACCTGGCCGTGCGCTGCGAGCAGGACTTGGGTCCCATCGTCCTCATCCGCTTGCACAAGTGGCGGCTTTTCTTGGAGGACGCCTGGTTCTGCAAGGATGTCCGTGTGACAGCCTCCGACGGCACCCTCTACCGCTTCCCCTGCTACCAGTGGCTGGAGGGGATCACCACGGTGGAGGTCCGGGAGGGCTCCGGTAGGACCCATGCCACCTCCATCCTCCTCTGCTGGCCAGAGGATCCGATCTTGACCCCTCCTCCTTTCCAGGGAAGAAGCTGGTGGACGATGAGCTGGAGATCCTCAAGGAGCATCGGCGACAGGAGCTGAAGGCACGGCAGGAGGCTTACCAGTGAGAGCAGGGACATAGGGATGGAGGGCCACCATGGCCAGGGTTGCCTGGCCAGCGGTGATGCTGATGTGTGTCCCCCTGTCTCACCTTGCAGGTGGAAGACCTTCGCTGAGGGCTGGCCCCGTTGCCTCAATGTGGGCTCCATCTTCGAGCTGGACTCCAATGTTAAATTCTCCTGCGTGAGGGCAACCAACTTCAACGGTGTCCTCATCTTCCAGTAAGCAATTCCCCAAGGTTGGGGAGGACCTGGGTGATGGGAGCGAGGAGCATTGCCAGTGCCACCCTGTCCTGAGAGTCTGGTGGGGGATGGTGAGTGCTGAGGTCCACCTCTGTCCCACAGAGGGGCCTCCCACCTTCTGGCAGGGTTCCTGTTGAGACACACCTCCTGGAAGAGCCTGGATGAGATGCGCAGCATCTTCTCCCGGACACAGGGCAGGGAGATCGGTGGGTGCCTTGTGTGTCCTCCCCTGCCATCCAGGGCTTCCCAAGAAGTCCCTGGCTTGATGTGGAGGGTGGGCAGTTGGGTGCTGACGTCTGGTGACCCCCTCAGTCCCCGAGTATGTGGCCAGGCACTGGCGAGAAGATGACTTCTTCGGTTACCAGTTCCTCAATGGCAACAACCCCATCATCATCCGGCAATGCACGGCACTGCCAACCAAATTCCCGGTGACACCGGAGATGGTGGCCGGCTCTTTGGGTGGTGGCACCAACCTGGCCAAGGAGTTGCAAGAGGGTCGGATCTTCATCGTGGACTATGAGGTGCTGGAGGGCATCCCAGCCGGCACCATCCACGGGCGCCAGCAGCATGTGGCGGCACCGCTCTGCCTGCTGCACCAGGGCGCCGACGGGCTCCTACGCCCCATCGCCATCCAGGTAGGGATATCCCACCCCAAACCAGTGCACAACCCTGCCCTGGTGGCGGTGGAGATGGTCCCACCATGTGGTTGTGTCCCACAGCTCAGCCAAACGCCGGGACCCACCAGCCCCATCTTCTTACCGAGCGATGCCGAGTGGGACTGGCTGTTGGCCAAGACCTGGGTGCGCAACGCTGACTTCTACAGCCACCAGCTCCTCACACACCTCTTGAGGACCCACCTCTTTGGAGAGGTCTTCGCCATCGCCACCCTACGCCAACTGCCCACCTGCCACCCCCTCTTCAAGGTAATGTCCCACCTCAGGACCACCCACTGCCCCCCACCCATCTGACCCCACCCAACACCCCCCCAGCTCCTTGGAGGTCCCTGGTCATCTCCAAGCTCTTGGTTCCCACCACCAGCTCCTCATCCCCCACTTCCTCTTCACGTTGCACATCAACACGTTGGCCCGGAGCGTCCTCATCAACCCTGGTGGCGTTATCGACAAGGTGAATCACAGGAACTGGGAGCACTGGGGTCTGCTGGGAACACTGGGAGGCACTGTGGTGTACTGGGAGCACTGAGGGGCATAGGGTATACTGGGAGCACTGGTGCACTGGTAGATCTTGGGGGCATTGGCGTATACTGGGAGCACTGGGGGGGTACCTGGAGTACTGGTGCTCTCGGAGCACTTGGAGGCACTGGAGTATACTGGGAGTCCCGCAGGGGCACAGTGGGCTCTGGGCGACACTAGAGAGCACAGGGCATGGGGGGATGGGGAGCATGAGCAATGGGGTATACTGGGAATACTGGGAGGCACTGTGGAGGCACTAGCAAGCATGAGCTGGGGTGTAATGGGAGCACTTGGGGGGGTATACTGGAGGCACTGGGGAGCACTAGGGTGTACTGAGAGAACTGGGTATACTGGGGGCACAGAGGGCCCTGGGGGACACTAGAGAGCATGGAGGGGCTGGGGAGCACTGGGGAGAGTGTGGTATACTGGGAGCACTGGGAGGTACTGCTGGGGTACTTGCAGTACTGGTGCTATGGAAGGACTTGGGGGTACTGGGGTATACTGGGAGCACTGGGGGACACTAGAGAGCATGGGATAGGGGACACTAGAGAGCACAGGGATGGGCTGGGGAGCACTCGTGGCACTGGGCTTCACTGGGAGCACTGGAGTAACCGGGGGCTGGAGGGGAGGGCATGGTGCCCCCTGCCCTGAGAACCCATGGCTGCCCCCTCCCCACCAGGCCTCGGGGGTCACCCATGAAGGGCTGCTGCTGGTTGTCCAGCGGGGCTTGGAGAAGGTCACCTACACCTCCCTCTGCCTCCCCGATGACATCCGCCACCGCGGCATGGCCCACCTCCCCAACTACCACTACCGGGATGACGGGATGAGCCTCTGGAAAGCCATCGAGAGGTGGGACAAGGGGTTGGGTGACCGCTGGCAGTGGTCCCATGGGTGCTCCATGACTTCATGGTCACCTCATCTGCTCGTAGTTTCGTCTCCGGCATCGTGGCTTTCTACTATGGGGACGACGCAGCGGTGAGTGGGGACACCGAGCTGCAGGCGTGGGTGATGGACATCTTCACCAACGGCTTCTTGGGCAGGACCTCCTCAGGTACCATGTCTCCAACTCCCATGGGTGCCGTGGGGAGGTGGGGGGAACAAGGACATGTTCCTGATGCTCTTCGGTGTCCCTCCACCCCTAGGTATCCCCTGCTCGCTGCAGACAGTGGCGCAGCTCAGCAAGTTCCTCACCATGGTGATGTTCACCTGCTCAGCCCAGCACGCAGCCGTCAACAACGGGCAGGTGGGACAGGGGACCTCTGACCCCTCTGCACCCAAAAGATGTCCCCATCCCCCGCTGGAGAGATGTTCCCCTCCGCCCCCTCTGTGCGCAGGAGGGACGTCCCCGTCCTGACCCAGGGGAGATGCCCATGTCCCACCTCTCTTCATGCTGGAGGGATGTCCCCATCCATCCCCTCTCCATGCCAGAGGGACATCCTCACCCCACCTCAGGAGAACGTCCCCATCCAACCTGTCCCCATGCCGAGGGACACCCCCATCCATCTCCTCTCCATGCTGGAGGGACTTCCCAAGCCCACAGCAGGAGAATGTCCCCATCCAAGCCATCCACATGCCAGAGGGAGGGCCTGTGCTGACAGTGGCCTCTCAACCCGCAGTATGACCGCCAGAGGGACATCCTCACCCCACCTCAGGAGAACGTCCCCATCCAACCTGTCCCCATGCCGAGGGACACCCCCATCCATCTCCTCTCCATGCTGGAGGGACTTCCCAAGCCCACAGCAGGAGAATGTCCCCATCCAAGCCATCCACATGCCAGAGGGAGGGCCTGTGCTGACAGTGGCCTCTCAACCCGCAGTATGACCTGGGCGCCTTCCTCCCCAACGCCCCGCCCTCCATGCGTCACCCGCCACCGGCGGCGAAGGGCAAGGCCTTTTGACACGGTCCCTGAGGTGGACACCACCGCCAACATCCTGGTGGCCCTCATCCTCCTCAGCTCCCGCCTCAATGACGTGGTGAGTCTGGCCCCCGCCATCACCATGTCCTCCCCCAAAATGGTGGCTGTGTGGGGCTGAGGAACCCCAAGAGGCACTCCATGAGGGCATGGGTGCAGGTTACTCAAGCCCAGGCTGGTGGCCACCATCACTCTACAGCTACCAGGGTGCCCGGA